TTCAAGGTCTAAAGAGGTAAAACATTAAATAACAAAAAGTGGAAAAAAAGACTATATATAGTTAAAACTAGCTACGACAGTAAAAAGCTACTTACACATTGATGCATGCACAATAATGATGTGACATTTAATAAAATATCATTAATGGCAAACAAGTAGTTTTACTTTTAATACTTTAATTTTTAAAACCTTTGCTGTGCTTTTACTTTAGTAGTATTATGAATGTCTTTAACATGTATGTTTACATTGTGGTAGGCTATTAATACTTTTACCTCAGGATGTGAGAACTTCCTCCACCACTAGCCTACCTGATGTTTGCTATACACGTTTATAGTAGGGTGCTCCAGCAAAAAAAAGTGCTGTGATCAACTAATCATGATTCAGCTGGGTTGGAATGTAATTATAAAAGCATTATGAGGTGCTGAGAGCAGCAAGAACAAGACATGCAAGGGAGAACAGCCCAGAATCTCCTTGCCACCAGGTTACTTTACATATCTGCAACCCAAGCAGCTCAACCCTCCCACCACCCCTCTGGCTCCTTACTGTGGTAATGGCCAGGAGCAGTCACAGTCTCCTTGGCACAGCCCATCTGTTGTTTTTGTTTTTCAGACGGGGCTTGGAGGGGAGTGGGTTGATGGGTGGGCTGGTGTTCGCCTGGGTGAGGAATGAGAAAATGATAGGAGGCTCTGGCCACAAATTATTGCCGGTCTGTTATTACAGTACGTTGAACGTTAGCAACGGTTACAGGGCCAAACAGTCTGACACAATGGTCATCTCTAAATAAAGCCTCGGGCCTACTGACGCAGTTGCTCGGCCACTTTGGGCTCGATGAGCAGGATAAAGCGGAGGAGGAAATTTGTATCTTGGCTGTACCCACCACAGAGTCAGACGTACGGACAGGAATCTACAGCAAATTGAAAATTAAATCAAGGTCAAGAATGTCTGCATTTCAGAATCAGAAGTATTAAATACTCTAACAAGGTGGCTCAGTGGCCAGCTCCGGCTCCCCAGCACTGGCTTCAAATCTCCACCTTTTCTGTGTGGGGTCTGTATGTTACTCACATGTTTAAGTGGATTTCCTTACATGCCAAAAAGGCAAACCTGTAAACAGGAATTGTTACTAAAGACACTGAAGAATGGCTGATCACTTTTTCCTAAATATTTAAGATGGACAGAATTATTTAGGATTAATTAACAGGACGGTTCAACCAGGTTGAAAACACATTTTCTTATTTACCTCAGTGGTATTTAACCATGTATATGCCTTTGTTTTTTTACAGGTTTAAAGACCACCTACAGGATTCCTACCTTTTACCCCAAAAATATATTTTAAAAAAATGTATTCCCTTTTTAGAGTGAGATAAGAAGATACACTTCAATGTTATGTCCAGAGACAGGACATGGTTAGCCCAGTGTAGCAGAAAGACTGGAAGGAGGAGGAGGTAGCTAGGATGACACTGTCATTTAGGCTATCTAGACTCCATCTCCCTCTTCAAACAAACAACAACTCTGCAGCTGAACGTCACAAAAACAAAAGAACTGTTCATTAACACTTCCAGCACCCACCGCACAGCCCTCATCTCCTCCCACAGCCCCACCTGCATCAATAATGAGGCTGAGATGGTGAGGTGCTTCAAATACCTTGGACTCACTCTGGACAATAAATCGTGCTTTGAACAACACACCACGGACATTCACTAACGCTGCCAACAAAGACAAAGACTCATCCGCAAACTCTATCTGTTGCCCCCCACCTATCTGCTGCTGCTGTATAAAGGTAGAACCCATTCTCCTTTACTGTTCCACTTGTGCCTTTAACATGTTAACTGCCTCCAATAGGAATAAACGTATACGCATCACAAACAGTGCCTCCAGCATTATTGCACTCCTCACCCCCAGCCTCTCAGACCTCGACAGCAAAGCCATTACACACAGAGCACACACCATAGCGCAGGACACAAGGCACCCCCTCACCTCATCTTTCCCATTGCTCCCATCTGGGCACAGACATGGATCACTGGCCTGTAAAAGGGCTCGCTATGGCACAAGTGTTGTCTCTTTTGCCATAGCATTACTCAACAAATACCTCGGTAGCCGTTTTGGATGTCTATCTTGTGTTTATGTTGTGTATGTGTGTACGTATGTATGTGCAGACAATAAAGGATTTATCTATTCACAAGCATGTTTCTTTCCAGAATCGACCAAACCAATTGTGTTTCTCTGGTAGTTCCATTGCCAATTGTTCACATAGCAGTTTAGCTATACTGTACATATAAAACAAGCTATTACATACTGTATATAGTAAGTACATACTATCAAAAACACATTCGCATAACTAAAGCTATCAAACTGCTACACATTACACATGTGACAGTGTGCAAGCTACAGCATCTGCTACATGGAGAGTGAGCAGTGAAAGACTTGTTGATGAAATCTCATACTGTACCTTTCCTCTCAGGGTTTTATATTCAGGTCCTTCAGCCACTGATACTAGTGTAAAAATATAACTCTCTCCTCTCAATGATCCCCAGACAAGCTGGCTTTTGTTTGCACTATAAGCAGCCTGCTGGTTCCTCGCTCGCTCTCCCTGTCTCATACACAGTCACTGCTAAAGCCAGGCATTGTTTCAGGGCAAGATAATAGTATCAGTCCTTGACGGGGGAGTTACAGTCGGATTGGCACCAGCTGTTAAAGCAGCCATACTTCGTGGACCCGATTAGATTACAAAATTACACTCGATCTCATCTGACATTAATTATTGGGCCATAATACGTGGCCAACCTAGCACTGTGCTTTACAACCCAGAACTACAAACAAATTGCATGGTGCCCCTCTGCAGTTAAACATGTCCAGAGTTAACAGAGACATCTAAATCTGCTGTCATAGTGTCCAGAGTACTGGCGGGTAATGTGCTGTAGACTTTAATAGGCAATGCAGACAGCTTAATCAGTATCCCAATCACTATTCCCCATGGAAAGGAGAATGTTTTCCACTGTTGGCCATTGTTGCCAGACCACCATCGGAGATTTTTGTGTTTGTAGGATCTAGTTAACTTGTACTGGACTGTGCCTATGCTGAAAGGTAACACTTTTAATTTCCTCTTCATATCATCGCTGTAGATTTTAGTCTCGCTTACATGGAGTGGATACCATTAACTTTTGTAAAACACAATACCATGTAATTACTCACTTTGTAAAGCTTATAATGGTTAATTCATTTTGTGACAGGTGTTGATTCAACTTCAGGTAATGCTAAAAGTCAAGGGTAATGCTAATGATATTATCTATTCTGCCTGTGAAGCCATTGCCAAAGCCTGTCATAGCTTATTCTGTGTGCCAAAGACTTCTATTGTCCAAAATCTATTAAAAATATGTAATGCAGTGGGTGATATTAAAATTAATGCAGGTACTAGTTTATTAATTCCCAAATACACGTCCTACTATTGTAAGTAGTAATCCATGGCAGAAAATAGTCTCTCTCTCTCTCTCTCTCTCTCTCTCTATACATATATATATATATATATATATTTCTGACCTTCAGTAGGAACTAATTGGCTTGGGGCTGAGTGGCACAGGGTAGGGAAAACACTAAGGATCGAAAGACAAACCAACACATTGTTGATTTTTGACTTTTGATGGAATTTGTTGACCTAAAATAAGAGTTATTGCTGTGTTGTTTTGAACTGCATTATGCCGTGAGACATTGTTACAAACCAACAGAAACACCCCTTGAGCTGACAACACACAGGACCTTGACACTGATAATCTAGGCCTGCAACAAATGATGAAACAAGGATGAAATCACGACCTGAGTGAAACATCACCATAACAGTAATTTCATGCGTCCTCCATGGTATGACTCACACAAAGGGCAACTTTAAAACCAGCCAACGCACTGCCATCTGTCATAGGCAGCACACATCATGAGAAGGTCCCTCTTCATCTGTAAAATGATATATACCATCACTCTAATTATTGCCCATCTGTTGTCACTGACTACAAAATCCCCATGTAGAGCAGACAATGGGCAGCAGAGGGAAGCCACGGTAGGGAAGATGTAGGTAGTGAGAGATTTACCGAGTGAGGCAGTGGAGAACAGAGTCTGAGATTTACGGCAGGTCTGCTGCCTTTGAGACGGAGACACCTCTAGAGCCGCCCTGGCTCGTTCCTATTAAGATTAATAATGCTAGTATTTACAAGGCCCAGATCTCCCCTCAGAACTCTACCGTCCCAGTGCCAAACCACCAGCAGGACACAGCAGAGAGGCTGACGGAGAGAAAGGAAAGAGCAGTGAATGAGTGTGTGTGAGAAATGGGAGTGAGAAAACACAGTGTGCCTCAGTGATTTGCCACAGCAGTTCTTTGTGATGCTGTGGTTTTTAATGTTCTTACAAGCAAGGACAATATTTTATGTTTCATTAAATCCTTGATGTGCTAAAGTGCTAAAGTTGAGTTTTCCCCCCATTTATTTCAATTTGAACTTATTTAACAGCTTCCCAGGACTGATAAATGGGAATTATTTGTTCCTTAAAGCAATAATTTGAAATATTAGGGAATGCTATGCTTGCTTGCTCAGAGTTACATAAGAAGATCAATACAACTCTTATACCTGCCTGTAAAATAAAGGGCTTCAGGCCAGAAACAGCAGGTTAGCCTAGCAAAAGACTGGAAATATGGGGGAACTGCTAGCCTAGCTTTGTAAGAAAGTACACCAAAATCTGCCTAACAGCAGCTAAAGCTTACAAATTAGCATCTTATTTCTATTTAATCCATACAAAAACCACAAGTTGCAGTTCAACAGGGTGAATATTACTTCTCCCAGATATAGTTCTAAGCTAAGCTACCTTGCAGTTGGAAATAGCTTAGAAGTACCAATCTTCTCATCTAACTTTTGGCGAGAAAGTGAATAAATTCCTTTAATTCTGTAGGAACATACTTTTGGGAGGAAATGTTCTACTTTCTTGACACAGAATAAAGTAAAAAAACCAGAACAGACAAAAGGTTTATCTTCAATAAATACAGTGGATTTATTTACACCATGTAAACACTTTAAACAGAGAAGATTAGACCTCTTGTTAATCTGTTAATATTTCATATGGCGATTATAAAGTTGATACATACGGTACTATTGGAAACTGTAATAAAAAAACCTACAAAATGAGTATGCGTCGTATATGAGTAAAACATGTGAATTTGATTCAGATTCAGTCGCTCCTTGTGCGTTTTCCACAGGCCTTGAAGTGAAGAGAGGAATGTGAGCGCAGTGCAATCATAGCTGAGACTCAGACTCACTCATACATTTCAGGGGAATTTACATTTAATCTAATAAGCTGTCTGTATTTTGTATTTCTTTCAATTTCCTGCACAATCCTTGTGGTCTACTCAACATAGCTTCAGATATCTCATTTTACTTCATCTTCCTACTGAGTCTCGGACTGAAATGATACTTTCCTCTCTTCCTCGCTCTCCAGTGGAGCATACTCACAGTCACTTGGTTCTAAAAGGTTCAGATTCATCTGTACAGCTACCAGCTTTTCCACCCTGTCAGCCGAGAGAGAGCCTTGCACCTTTGTATTGCCAAAGCGCGACTGGATGCGCTCGCAAGCACATGTTGTTGGTGGGATCTGGAGTATAGCAGAAGCTACAGCGGACAGCGGCTCAGAGGAACACAGCCCTTTCCACCAGGTGGACGCGGACACGTGCTGGCACGAGCTCCATATCCCGGCCCCCTTCCACAGACCCTGCTTGGCCGAGAATCTGGCAAAGCTGCCGAGCACTTTACCCTCATCGAGATGGAGGTGATGTGACAGGTTGGATATCACGTAGTACGCACTGTTTATCTGCTCCCCGGACAGCGTTTGCTGTCCGACGTGCTTCGGGTCCAGCATGTACGCAGCTGCGTGGATGGGCTTCACGCAAAACTCCTGACACCTGTCTAATGACGCCATGACAGCTTTCTGTTCGGCGCAGTGCAGCACAGACCCGGACAGCGTAGCTCCGATGTGGTATCTTAACTGACTGAACATGTCGACGACACCAGAGAGCGCAGTGTCGTCTCTTTTCATGTAATCAATGTAATTCCCAATCAAGCAGAGCAGGTTTTGACTGCTGCTTAACTCCTTCCAAAACGCTGCATCCTGTACCGTGGCCCTGACGGATGCCTCGATATCCAGTGTGGGTGAGACGGCCATGTCTTGTAGAGAGTTCCGGCCCTCCAGGAGGCTGCTGATCATGTTAACCACACCAGTCCAGTCAGAGCTAATAGGCAGCGCCAGTGTTGTCCCGTTAGCAGTGTGGTTTCTTGTCTTTGTAGTCTGCCAGCATCCAAAGGTCTCCGCTAGTATTTTCTGCTCTCTAACACACCTCGCCACCTGCTCAGCTCTCCTGCACAGAGCCTTCATAGATGGCTGCGCGACGACGTCGTCGAAGAGCTGCCGGACGCCGCGCGCCGTGCAGCCGATAGCTGATATGTGCGGGAAGGCTTCCTCTACTTGAGCCCAAGCTGCCATCATTTCCGGGGCGTCATCGGTGACGACACTGAAGACCTTTTGTGGCCCCACTTCATTTATAACTTCTTTCAGCTCCTCGGCAATAAACGTGCTTGTGTGCGTCCTCTCCTTTGTCTTTGTGCATTTGTAGAACATTGGCACAGGAGTTGCAACAACATAAATGATAGTTCCGGTGTCTTTTATGTTTGACCAGCCTCTGCACACGATGGTGACACAGTCTGCTTTCCCTATGGCCTCATGAACCTGGCTTTGTACCCTGTCATACTCACAGTCCAACAGATGAGAGGACAAAGCCTCTCTCGTGGGTGGACAGTAAGCAGGCCGGAGCACGCTGAAAAATCGCTTCCAGTAAATATTGTCTGCGAGAGTGAGGGGTGAAGACGTGGCATACAAAGCTCTTGCAAGGCACTCATCAGCAAACGCCTGGCTGCGCTGATCCACTGAATCAATGAGGAACTGTCCCCCAGGAGTGGCAGATGGTAAGAACGAGAAGGAAGGAACAGGAATGGAGGCAGAAGAGCTTCCATCTGGGCCCGGTGACTGCTGCGAAACCACCGAGTACTCCTTGCATTTGTCTAAATGTATCTGCATCTTGGTAGCGTTCTTCGTGTATGTCTTTGAGCAGTAGTTGCACATGAAGGTCTCCCTTCCATCTTTAATAGCCGGGGTGAAATGCTTCCAAACACCGGACTGCAAGCGTGGCATTGTCCTGCAAGGGTGATAAGAAGAGAAGACAAACATTACCTATGTATCACATTGGTGAACTGACACCTTTTGTGTGTCTAAAAATGAGTGAGCAGGACTTTTGGGTGTTTTTAACCACACACACACACTGATGCCAACATGATTTTAAGAATGTGTTTGTATGATTTATGATGCTGCTGTTAATGTGTATCATTATCAGATCCTAAGTTAATTATTTTGTTAATTAAAGAAAATAGTGACAAAATGGCAATCATTACGTTCAAAAGCCAAAGGTGACGGAGGTAATCAAATAGCTTATTACCCCAGATCAATACTGAAAACCTTGAACAATATTCTGTTGTACTATCAAGAAAAGGAAGCCAGCAAGAAAAGCAGAAAATTCCCACATTTGCGAAAGCTTGCGGAACAGAGGATATTTGGCATTTTTGCTTGAAAAATTACCTTAACAATTAATTGATTTTCAAAACAGCGGCTGCTTGTTTTTCTGTCAATCATCTCATCGTTTTAAAACTAATTGCTTCCGCTCTAATGCTATTAGAAAAAATGCTGCATTTGAAAATTGAAAAATCTATATCATTATAAAAACTGTGAGGAAACCCAATCTCCCCAGAGGTAGCAGCTCGATACACCTGCTGCTAATGAACTGACAGACAAACATCACTGGTGACAGCTTACAACGTCAGGACTCAACCTGAAGCTAAAAAACTGTTTGAGAAGATGTAGCCGGAAGGTTTGTGCATTTTGCTTCGCTCTATTAAAAAACCGCACTGAAAAAGAACAAGCATGCATAAACTTGGGTCTCTCATTTACAATGACGGCCGGCAGAGAGGCAGCAACAGGAGGCAAGTTGATACAAGAAGTAAAACATACATACAGCTAATGCAAAAAAACAATACAGTTAAACTGAGCTAAAACAATATATACGGTATGTGCACAACAGAGATTAAAGTACTGTGTTTCAGAGAGGTAAGTTCAAAAGCAGGTGCAGTGATCAGAAACCATGTAGTGAGTTGTTAAAGGAGGATAATGGAATAAGGGTGTGCAGATTTAGCAACTTTTGCAACTGGTTTCAGTCGCTGCGAGCGGCCAACTGAAAAGAGTGACGGCTGAAGGAAGTGTTGACTTTAGGGGTGTCCAAAGTAATGAATTTGGTCAAATAGAAATTGCGGTTACTGTGGGAGATGTAGAGTAGAGAACAGACATATGGAGGGGCCAATGATAGTTTTATAAATGAACAGATACCAGTGGATTGTATGCCTGGTGTGGAGTGATGGCAGTGACGAGTGCTGAAAGAGGAGCTGATCACAAAGCGGATGATGTCCACTTTATTGAGAATAATAAAGTTAGGTTGTACAACTCCAGGCCAGTTCAAAGAGTGTTTTTTCTCCTTGTTGTTTTTTGAGTATTCTTATAGACGTAAACGTTTCTTGTGTAATTCTCAAGCAAAAAGCTAAGATTTTGAAAAAAGGAAGACAAAAATATGTTCCTTTGTGTATTTTCTTCTATTATTTGATCTTGTTGAACATCTCACGACCACTTACATTCACCTTAGGACCCTCTTGGGGGTCTTGACCCCCAGGTTGGCAACCAGTGCCTCAGAACATCTGTAAGTACATTATTGTACCAAGTTTCTTCAAAAGTGAAAACAGAAAATTTAACACAGTGCAGAATTTGTTCAAATAACTAACCTCCTACTCCCTGTTTGGAATTTAATTTTAAGATGAATATATTAATGTTAATATTAATGTTAATTCATTACTGCCAGGTGCTTTAAGGTAAAGAACTTTACCTATTAGCTACAGAAAGTTATACACACCACACTAATAAATAAGCAACTAGCTGTTATCTTATTCACCCACCTTTGTGTACAGACACTATTCCACTTTGCCAGCGGTCTGAAAGCACATTAAAGCCGCCTTTGGCTCAGTCCTGCTGTGATTCTATCCAGCTCAACTTAGTGTAACATTAGCTGTTTTTGGCTAAGTCGGTAGCCTGCAATAACGTTAGCAAAGTGGTTGAAATGAAGGAACAAAGTGTCCCCGGGTCGCGGACTGTCTGCACGTTTAAAGTAAGCCGTCACACGACCTGGATTACGTAGACGTTTGGAAATGTGTCATCATTTGGTGAGAGAGAGAAGTGCGTTACAAGCCTTTGTTGTGACTGTACCGTTAGCTAACTACTACTTCCTGAAACCCAACGCTCCGTCGAGTAAGGGAGCTCACGTGGATCAATAAACAGTGGACTGTGGAAGGTGCGGCGAAGAATAGAATGCCTTTATTGTCACGTATACACATGTACAATGTATTAAAAAGCCAACTCAGTAGCCCATGCAAAAACAGTCGTAAATATAACATGGGACATAAAGTATAGGGTAAAAAGAAAGAAAAGGAGGTGAGGTGCACAGTGCCAGTACATTTTGCAAAATAAATATGGTGCTATTATACAGTGTTATATATATTGCCCATTTGGTATGGAATATTGCACATTGTATGGTATTGCACAGTAGGTAAGGTTTTTTAGTATATAGTAATAGTGAGTGAAGAGAGTCCGGGGGTTGGGGTGGTTTAAAGGAAGTCGAAATGGGAAATGTTTGAACGAAACTGTTAATTGACAGGTACCTCTGCAACTGGAAAAGTACAGAATGGTGATTATACACAGTTTGTAGTGGAGAGAAAGTGCTCTGAATTGTTCCTGGAGCTTTTGTGGAGTGTAGGCCTTATTCACAGTTTTTCCTCCTCTCCTTTCTAGTCTCATGAGGTGATTAGGGTCTTATCATTTGTCTGTTTTCTTCCCTAAAACAGCTTTAAATGTCTTTTTTTTCATATAAAAAGAAAAAAAAGAAGCTTGCATGGCTTCTTTCATTAAATGCCAACACTGTTGGGTAAAATAGACCCTATTCACATCCTGACATGTCAGAAGGAAACGCACAGGTGGGATTGATAGCATTGATTATGGCCTCATCCCATTTAGTTTTTCAACTCCAAGGCCTTTAACTGAACAATTAGTTCCACCTGTGCCTTTCCTACCACTACAATTCCAAATATCACTGAAAAAGGTATGTATTAAAATATCATTTTCAATTCAATTTCATGCTTAGATCTGGGAATTTGGTAAATTTACCAACAATAAAGTCTGACTGAGCAAAAAATATGAGTGTTTAGAGGATTAGATAAGCCAAAACTTATATATTAGTTTTTACATATTATCCAAATCACTGAATTTGAAAGTAAAACTGAAAAAAACCATGCACTTCCAGTACAGCTATCTACCTGTAAGATAGCTAGTTTATCAAAGTTGAATCAGGAGGTCTGCGCATTATTTTCATTATTGATTAATCTACCTAATATTTTTGTTTCTTGTAATAAAGGTTGCAACTTCTTGTTTATTATAATATGCAACAAGTAAAAGCAGCAAATTCTCACATTTGAGAGGCTGAAACCAGCAAATGTTTGGAATTTGTGCTCCAAATATGACTTGCACTATTAATAAATTATCAAAATTGAAATTGCTGATTCATTTTCTGTCCACTGACTACTAGATTTATTGACCAATCGGGTTGTTACTTCTCAAAATTTTGCCTTTCTTTTCTCTTGCAGATAAATTTGACTAACCTCAGACTTAAAATATGTCTGACAACTGCAATGAAATGGTGGCCAAACCTAAAAAAGTATGTTCTGCAAGTATAAAGCAGGTACTGTGTTGCACTAATTTGGCCTAGATGAAGGCACTAAAACCAGATGGATGTCTCATAGTTTTTAAACACATGTAGTCAAAGTTCTTGTCACTATATATTCACCAAACCGCTGGTGTAGGTCTGTATTGGTTTCGGTGTTAATAGCCCACACTGATTTGCTCTAACACTAAATGACAGTGATTATCTCTAGCTCTGGGTCACATTTCAGTGCCATGTGTCTGTCATTAGTGACATTTCTGGAGTTTATACGGTGTCCAGGTTTTTGTGGAGCAGCGAGTGCAGCCAAAGCAAACTAACTCTATCTAATTTTGGGGGCAATCCGAGCTGGTAATGTCAGGTTATATCACAGCACTCCCCATAGGGAGAATATTTACGTTGACACACTGCAGAGAGACAGAGAGAGAAACAGGACCTCACTAGAGCCGAGCGCTATTATTTTCTTGTCTCTCAGCGTTGGATTAAGTCGCCCAGCCCTTTTGAGAGCATCAGTATTCGAGCCAGAGAATTAGAAGTCCAGACCACAGGGACACCAGTAGAGAGGAAGCAGGATGATGTCATGACACAGCAGGGATCGAGGGTGATATTGGTTTTCTGGTTAGTTGGTGGTTTTGGCTGCTCTCAAGCCTTCTCCGCTCTCATGGGAATTTGTCTCGCATTTTATTCAAAGCTTATAGGTTTTTTTTTTTTTTTCATACTTAAATGACTTGATAGGAAATTCCACTGGGCACAGAAGCAACAACACAATAAAGACACGTTGGAGTAACAGAATTAGATTTAAAGCACAAAAACACATTTTAAAGTATGATAAATCTTTTTTTTTTTTTTTTCTCGTTTCGTTCCAGATTTAGGCGTCCCCGAAGCAAAAGCTTCCGCTCTAATCTGATTTAATGTGCGACTGTAACAAGACGACGTACCAAAAGCATTTTCATGCTGGCATCTTGATTTAACTGTCACTCTTGCACTCTTGTGTTTTTTTGTATCAGAATACAGTAATAAAATCTGCCCAAACTGTAATGATGACACATAAGCCACGTCTATCTGGAGGTCGTTGGGGGGAAAATTCAGCTCAAAGATTAAAGTTATCGTTTAAGATCCAAGAAACACTTTCATGTCTTCTCTGCGAAATGTCCCCCCTCTTTTTTTACTTTAGTCTGTCAGGCTTAATCCCTCAGCGCTAGTTTTGGACCCAAACACTTTGTGACATAAAAGCCTTTCAATTACAGTGTAAAATGCACTTCTTTAAACATGAAACAGCGCCACACACTCTTGGCTTAGAAAGGCATTAGGCCACTCAATGGAGATGAATGAAATGGTATCATTTTATTCCACTTTAATGGCCAATCTCTGCTTCTTGGAACTTAAAGCTAAAATTACATCATGGGACTCTGTTAGCAATTACTTGATTTATATCAGAGCTCAGCTACATTTTAAACAGGCTGAAAATAGCTTTAGTTAGGTCTTTGAGAGCAGTTTATGGGAAAACATCACTTACTGTATGTGAAGGCTGTATGTTCTGCTCTCAGACAAAGCCACTTGTTGTGAGAGTTTTGCTTTTAACACCAGTTTCATTTGTTCTCTCTGTCTGTGGTTGACATTTATTATTATAAAAAGTGTTTCCATATTGTCATAAAGCTGGTCTTGAAACAGTAAGACCTTTTTTTATATGTTAGGCACATCTGGATGAGCTCTCACTGTTTGTTTTTCTTTTCTTGTATTTTTTGTTAGGACACACTGAGAGCTCTACTGTTGCTCCCAGCTTCTATTCTCAGTTTGTTATCTCAGGAATGCTAATTAATGTCAGATAATTATTTGATATTGCTCTCCACGACATGTATGAGACAGTATTCCTCATTCCCAAACATTTCAGGTATACTTTGATGAGCTCCATTCATGACTGACTTCTGATTTAATCTTGCAAACACTACTACATTCCAGTTCAATTAAAAAGCCAAACATCGCTGTCGTCGTTCCCCAGCAGCTGTGCAAAGGCAGGACAGATGCTTCCCACAGCCTCTCCCAGTAAGCAGTTGGGATCCATCCATGGCAATTATAATCCACCACAACAGTTGGCTGAGTGTAATTCATTATTTTAAGGTAAGCATGAGCGCATAGTTTAATACAGGATTAGGCTAATTAATGATCATCAGCCCATTCTTGAATAAATATCACAGCTGTGTTCCTCCACAATTTAAATCATTGATTTCTACCCCTGCATGCTCTACCCTTACCACCCAGCAGAGGCCACTGTGGCCAAGCTCCCTTCACATCTCTCTTGCAGGCTCACCAAGGGATCTCAACTTGGTGGAAAGGGGCTAACGCAACACTCAAAATGACAAAAATGCCTTGTAATGCAACACCATAGCTCTGCTGTAAATGAAAATTTGATGTCTGTCAGAGTGCTGTGTTCATGGTCATTTTTGAGACTGTAGGTTGTAGCGCTGTGAAGGAAATATCTTATTAAATGTCCTGCGGATATGTTTATATGTCTACTCCTACATGACTGAACTTTGCATCTGCTACTGAAGCACTGCCAGCTATGTAGGTGGTGACTACAGAAAATCACAATTATGCAGACAGCTACACAAGGAGGCATGTCAGATTTAGCATTTAGCAGTATTTGTCCTTAATAAGGTGAGGCAAATTGCTTTTACACGAGTGGGAATTAGTGAGGGAAAGTCTCAAAACTTATGACAACACATGCAAAAAGAGGAAATACCTCTTTAAGCATAAAGGGTTTACCCACTTGACAATAAAGCTCTTCAGAGGTCTGTTTAATTCCCAGGAAGCAAGACCTGGTGTGGCACCCAAGCTGGATCTAGTTTAAATGATGTTCAGACTATTTGGGTCCAGGTAGGGTCCTGTTCTATTGATGTGGGTCTCAGGTCTGTGTGCTAAATGGAACTGACAGGACTCACCATCAGCACTGACCACATGGTGCATCATAACAATCAAGAACATTGTTTTTAGGCAAGATTGTGAACTATGAATTCAAGTATAAAGGACCACAAATGCTTGCTTGTATAAGTGATGGGAGACAAATCTACAGGCCTTGTTCTGTTCCAAAATACATTCCAAAGTTTATCTGAAGCTAATTTGAGGCTTGAGCAGTCTGAGTTTGACAAATCAAATCAAAAGTCTTTTTAACACTCAATTCTCGCACTCTTCCTCTACCACAGCTTAGCAGGGAAACCGTGTCCCAGGAAGCACAAAGAGGGAATTCTGTTCTCAACAGACTAATTTTGGAAGATACTCACTTGGTTCGACTAACAGAAACTGCTGCAGTCTCAAACTGACTTTAGATAGATGTTTGAATATATTCTTGTGCAGAGCGAGGACAGTGAATGGGGATCATTTCGCAGCCAGAATGGACAGGAGGAACAATTCCAGTGACTGATAACTCTTTCAATATACATACTGTATGCGCATGTCAGTACTGTTTTAAGACCGACTTGAAGGAATGTGAAACTAACCTTTTAAGTGTGATCACA